CGCCATTTTCATACCTCAAAGATCGGTCCCAACAATGCTATCGAATGAAAAAGCCAAAGTTGGGAACGGACCTAAGAAATCCTATCCATTTCAAGAGTTTGTGTTGTTTCGACTCCCATGTTACGACCCTCCAAATGGGTAGTTGCTCTAGGGCAACATGTAGGCAGAACATGGGAATCTCATGGTGCAACCTAGTGGTGGAGACCATAGGACGTGTTGATATACTTCCTTCTCCCACTTACTATAAATACTTTCTCTATTCACCTTGTTATTGACTCATGCAAATACCTTCCGAATGGAGGATGCTCTCAGGGCGACACGAGGCCGAGCATGAATCTCATGGTGTGAATTTTTCAGAGAGCGTGAAAGGAAAACGATATATCTCATACACCTTTTTCCTCCCACTAAGTATTTTAGACGGTTGGGTATACTCATTACTTAGGTATATTCCGGCTAATTAAATATAACTTAAGTCTAGGTGATTTTTCTAAAACTTACATCACTCAAGCATGCTCATAAAACTGTGCTAACTAAGCTCAAGTACTGGTCCGATCTCCAGATAGTAGGTGTTCCGTAAACCGTCAACTTAAGTACCTCCAGCCTTAGACAAGATTGTGCCAGGTGAGCTTTCTTGTAACCGCAATTTTATAAGACATCGACCTATTTTAACTATTAAAATTGATCGTGCTTGGTTCTTAACCCTAAGTGAGCATGCATCTAACATGCTTTATATAACCAATTACATAATCATCCATTCCATGCAATAATATAACAATTTATATTATCACTCATGGAACCCAAAACATGCATATTATACATTATAACACTTATAACATACTTGGAATGCATGAAACATGCTTAGCCTATGGTGGGGTTTTAAATCTATTTGACATACTTTATGCATATACATTTTCTATTTAAATAAAACATACATTCATAATGCATAATTAATTAAGTACACTAAAGTGGATTGGTTTTGGCATTTTAAAACAAGCAATTAACTAAATTATTACATTAATAATTAAAAATAACTTGAACCGCTCTCGAGGATCACGAGCTGGGAGAATAAACCCTTAAAAACATTGAACCGGACCCCAACGGCAGAAAAAACTCCCGAACCGCCTCTTCCATCTTTTTGTTCGGTTCAGCTTGCTATCTCTTCCATTTTCAATCAATTACAATCTAAAATGGACTCTAATGACTTCATAAAAATTACAGACCTTTCTTCACTCATTAAAGCCCATACACATTAGGCTTGTTACAAGAATTGTATCAAATGGAAGCATAAAAAAATGCCAAAACCCAAAACATCCACTTTAGCCACCACAAAATTTCATTCATGAAATAGTACCCACCATGGTCAAATTAATATAAATAAAGTGCCTAAAACTTGCTTTGATACCAATTGATGGTATTAATATAACACATGCGGAAGCAATTCGAATCTTAGGCACTCTAAGTACATCAATTATAGTAAACTAGCTAGCATGTTCAAAAGCATTAAAACTCAATGAGTTTGAATACTAACCTTTTGTCGCTCAGTTTTCTTTTTCCTCACGAATCGGTTTCGAACCACCACTAGTGTCTTCTTCACTATTCTCCGGCCTTAGAATGAGATTGTGGAATCCGGTGAATGACTAAACTTGAGAGGGATTTAGTATATATGAAGAGAGAGTTTGTGAGAGGTTTTTCTCAAGGTTTTTTCCAAAAAATGAAAATATCCTTAAAAGTGGGTAGGAGTGAATTCCATCTTGCACCCCACGTCTCCAGCCATTCACCCAGTCTTACCCCTTGAATGGGAGGCCTATTGAGTAGGCGAACTCAAGCCACTCTCACCCATGCAAATCTAAGGATAATTCCAAATAAATAAGAGTTCATGGTTAGCTCAGGATTAAAATCGAGTTACCTAGGTCATCGAATGAAAAGAAAATCAGTCTCAACAGTAAACAGCATTATAAAGTGAGAGTGATTTTCTTCATGGTTCGATCTTATGCAATACTCATTGCATAGGACTCCCCCACTCACATGTCTCCACATGTACAATTTAGTGATCATATTGTTTATTTTCTATACAAAAGTGGGCCGCATCCATAGTGTCCCCAGGATAAGGTACTCAGCCTTATCCCCATACTATAGATCATTTTGACTATATACTTGAACTTGATCCACTCTTATGTCTCTACATATAGTTCAAGTAATCATACTATAGTCAGAGTGTTGTTAGTTTATTGGATTTAGATTAATAATTTTAAAGTTCACTTTATTCAATAACAATCTTTACTGAATAAATAACAATAATACATTTATTGAAAATAGAATATTTTTTTTTGTTTACAAACTATGATTTTTAGGACATAAAACCCAACAAACGTTGCTACTCAGTCATATCAGTTCCCAACAACACGATCCATGCATCATGATATGATGCATGACCATCTTAATTTGCTCAAACACATCCGTTGGGAACTGGATCATGTGTCGATCTTCTCATTAGGACATTTCAAACATTCATCCATCTGGATTCTCTTGAGCATCAGACTCTCCCGTGTACATGCTAAACCATTTACGACATACTTTCTTGATAGTGGGTGCATGATCCAACCTTCGACACATGGGTTGGGGAGCAATATTGGCACACCTATGCCATCTCTTACTTTCTTGTTTCTTTCATCAACAATAAAAAAATGTTATCTATTTTAAGATTAAGATCAATCATTATCTCACCCATAAATTCTAACTTGGAAAAATATGCAAATAAAGGTCACATTTTAAGGGAAAAGGGTAATGTGCCATTGAAACTATATCACAATCCTCACTCAAATTTTGTTAAACATGTCATTCTCTAATAATCATGCCAAAAACTTGATGATGGAATATAAAATTTTCAAATGACTCATAGTGTAGAAGGAATCATCATTTTAGAATGACTATTGTGGTCGGTGGCGTTTGTTGTTACAAACCTTGAGGATGTGAATCTAAGAACGATCATTAAGGTCATATATTATGTCTTCTTCTTCAATGATGGAAGGAGAAGACGCTAAACCGATTGAAGCGGCCTCTTGAAGAATCTTTTAAAAATCACCTACCGAAGATGTCTGGGCTAAAACTGCTAGTAGCCTAGACATTGAGTTGAGAAATTCAGTGTTTTTCCTTTGTGGCAGATCGGGTAAATGACCATTTTTCGAAAGACATATCAAAACTATTTACTTCTCGTTAAAGAATCGTCATATCCTTTCTACCCTCATGTTTGATGTTCACATAGAGAACCTTAACATCTCATCAGATACTCACTTCATAGTTGTCATTTTGAGTATATATTACAAGTTAACCATTCAAATGTCTCCCCCACAACTCTTAGATCTTCTCCAAAAGGATTTACTATGCTTATAGAGGTAAATCGGGAAAATTGTCAACCTGTTTCCAAAACCCTTTCATGGGATCAGATTAATAAGAATTCTACCTGGATCCTTAAATATGTGAGCCTTCCAATTAGGAAAGATCCACAGTTTGCTCAAATCATCGAACATGATGATGGAAAGCATAAAAGTAAAATTCAATGAAAATTAAATTTTCTTTCCAAAGGTAAAGATTCTTAAGCTCAAGATCTAGTACCTCAGGAATCTCGAGATCTCCATAAAAAATCAACATGTCAAAGTCTATGCAAATAGAGCCAGTTGATTACAACAAAGAAGTAGTTTAATTATGAGGGCAATCCCAAATTTCCAACTCAAACCGAATTGGATACTACTTCTATCTTCAACGAGATCGATATTATCACAAATGAATTGTCCACTGATAAACAATTCCTAAAAAAGGCATTACAACCTCGAAGGATATCCTAAATATCCAACATCAAAATAACTTCTCAAACAATCTCAACCATTGCAAGACAAGTTAAGAAGATTGAAGAAAAAAATTAAGGAAAAACGACAACAAAAGAAATAAAAAAACACTATTTCAAATATTACTAGCCTGAAATTCCCAAAAGTTGAGGAAAGTTCTTTTGTTCATACTAGCTATTTTAGCCAAAGTAATCAGTCTCGGCTCAACAAAAGAGGCACTTGCTCTGATTGAAGAAAAGCTAAACAATCTTTCAATTTCGATAGAACCTTAAGTAAATAAACTTTTAGTGTCATAATGAACCATATGAGAATGACCTCAAAAATTTTTAAAATGATTTCTCACAAGAAGAAAAGATGCTCAAAAAACTAGACCTCATCAACAAAATTGTTAAACTAGAGGACAAAGTCCAAAAAACTAGATGAAGAAAAATTGGTATCCTAAGCCCTCTTTCCCCGATGTTCTGTTCGAAGAAAAAACTCAAATGACTCAAAACACCTATGAAGTAACATGCATACATAAGTGGAATATAGATGGTCTATCTGGTCATCTAGTCATAAATGTAATCAACAAAATGTTGATGGGAGCTAGCACCTATAGGCTTCGAGGTAAGTTTGACCACGCTATTGCTCAAATTGTAACTTTTGGTTTCACAAGAGTACTCAAGGATGGGTTGGAGAAGCATATCTCCGAAGAAGAAAAGCAAAGGATACTCAACCATACTACTATAGAAAAAGAAGTACAAATATAAAAAGTGAAATTGGAATATCTCAAGTTATGGAGAATGATATAAGTGTTGAATAGCCGTTAATACCCTTTTATATATTGTCTTAAAGTTTGTTGTAGGTTGTTAAAGATCACGTATTTGTTTAGATTGCTGTCAGTTAGCATCTAATTAAATCTCCGTTAGGAGTTAGATTTAGTTTTTTATTTGATTTAGTTTTGATTTGATTAGATTTTATTTTGATTTGTTTACTGGTTTGTTATAGATTTTCTGCAGATTTTTAGGTAGATTTTCTGAATATCTTTTGTATTCTCTATATAAATATGGAGCATTCTTACTCTTCATAATTCAATCATCTCATCTACCATTCAATAAATCCCTCTTTCAATAACAATTGGTATCAGAGCTATCTTCTTAAGGGATCTGTGAGATCAAAATGGGAGAATCAAGTTTTTCAGCTGTTGCACCACCAGTCTTTGATGGAGACAATTATCAAATGTGGGCAGTTCGTATGGAGACTTATTTGGAGGCCTTGGATCTTTGGGAAGCAATTGAAGAGGATTACGAGGTCCCTCCGCTTCCAACAAATCCTACTGTAGCACAAATCCAATTACAGAAGGAAAAGAAGACAAGGAAATCAAAGGCAAAAGCTTGCCTATTTGCCGCTGTATCTGAAATGATCTTCATGCGAATAATGTCCCTCAAAACAGCAAAAGAAATCTGGGATTATCTCAAGGCTGAATATGAAGGAGATGAGAGGATTCGGGGAATGAAAGTCCTGAATTTGATCAGGGATTTCGAGTTGCAGAAGATGAAGGAGTCAGAGTCGGTAAAAGAGTACTCTGACAGACTTCTCAGCATCGCCAACAAGGTGAGATTGCTTGGTTCTGTATTAAATGATTCCAGGATCGTTGAAAAGCTGCTAGTCACTCTTCCAGAGAAGTTTGAAGCCACCATTACTACTCTGGAGAACACCAAAGACTTGTCAAAGATTTCTCTTACAGAGCTCTTGAATGCTTTACAAGCGCAAGAGCAAAGGAGGTCTATGAGACAAGAAGGGGTGATTGAAGGCGCCTTACTTGTTGAGCATCAAGACAGCCGCAGGTATAAAAACAACAAAAATTTCAAAAATCAATTGACGTATGGAGATTCATCTGCCAATTATCAAAAGACAAAAGGAGGAGGTTTCAAAAAATCCTATCCACCTTGCCGCCATTGTGAGAAGAAAGGTCATCCACCATACAAGTGTTGGAGAAGACCTGACTCCTTCTGCTCCAAATGCAATCAACTTGTTCATGAAGCTGTGATCTACAAAGCCAAAGATTTGGTGAAAGAAGTAGATGCACAGGTCGTTGATCAAGAAGAAGTAGAAGAAGAAGAAGATCAATTGTTTATGGTCACTTCTTCCTCAAGCAAAGAATCAAGCGAGAGCTGGTTGATTGACAGTGGGTGCACAAATCACATGACATATGACAAGGAGTCTTTTGAGGAATTAAGAGACACCGAAGATAAGAGAGTGAGGATTGGCAATGGTGAACACTTGGAAGTCAAGGGAAAAGACACAGTAGCTATAACAAGCTATGAAGGTACAAAATTTATTTCAGATGTTTTATTTGTGCCTAAAATTGATCAAAATCTCTTGAGCGTTGGTCAGTTACTTAATAAAGGTTATAAAGTGTTGTATGAGAATAAGCGGTGCTTGATCAAAGATGCTAGTGGCAAAGACTTGTTCAACGTCAAAATGAAAGGAAAAAGCTTTGCTCTAAATCCGACGGCCTTTATATCTAGAGCTGGTGCCACTGGGACTTGGCACAAAAGACTTGGGCACTTTCATCATCGAGGTTTGCTTCAGATACAGTCAAAGAAGCTGGTAGAAGAACTCACTGACATTGATGATGACATGTCTCCTTACTGTGCTCGTAATTTTGGGAAGCAACATAGGCAACCCTTTCCTAAACAGGCATGGAGAGGTTCTGAAAAGCTGCAACTGGTTCATGCTGATCTTTGTGGTCCTCAGCGAACACCATCACTAAATGGTAATCTTTATTACATTGCTTTTATTAATGAACTAACAAGAATGTGTTGGATATTCTTGCTAAAGCAAAAGTCAGAAGTTGCGGGTGGATTTTGGAAATTCAAAACCAAAGTTGAGAATGATGGTGCATGCTTGATTCAGACTATAAAGTCAGATAATAGCAAGGAGTACACTTTAGAAACTTTTAACAGGTTTTGTGAAAAGGCTGGAATTGAACATCAATTGACAGCACCATACACTCCTCAACAGAATGACGTCAGTGAAAGGAGGAATAGATTCATAATGGAGATGACGAGACGCATGCTTCATAAGAAGGATCTTCCAAAACGTTTTTGGTGAAAAGCAGCAAACACTGTTGGGTGCTTGCAAAGTCAAATTTCATCAAAAGATGTGAAGGTCCTCACACCATTTGAAGTTTGCATGTTAGAAGAGTCTGAAGATGAACGACTAGAAGAGTTTGAAGATGAACGACAAGATGCTTTGGTTGATGATGCACCTGTCAGAGGAGGAGCTTTCGGTGATCGAGAAAAACAAAATCTGGGAGTTGGTTGATCGACCTCTAAACAAAAAAATAATTGGAGCAAGATGGGTGTTCAGAAAAAAGCTTGGAGTTCACAGCATCTAAATAAGGAGGAGTGTTAAAAATCACGTATTTGTTTAGATTGCTGTCAGTTAGCATCTAATTAAATCTCCGTTAGCATAAGATTCCTTGGAATGAATTCACTTATGGTGATTTAGGTTCTGTAATAGACAAGCCAACTGCCAGCAAATATTGTCTACTTTGGCCCGTTACGCATCGTCGTCAGTCTCACGGTTTTAAAAGAATCTGTTAGAGATCAAAATGATATTAATTAACTAATCAGAGTGGCGCAGCGGAAGCGTGGTGGGCCCATAACCCATAGGTCCCAGGATTGAAACCTGACTCTGATACCAACAATAAACGGATAAGGTCCGATTATTGCTCAAAGTTTAACTTGAATACTCATACTCAAAGACAAGTGACAGGTATTGCTCAAATTATAACTTCTCGTTTCACGAGTATTCATATTGTCGTCTTCAACCTCACGATTATAAATGCATATATTAGGGATCAATGATATTAATTAACTCTTTTAATAAATTAGGATTTAGGCCTTCTAGAAATTCAAAACTTCACCGGCGTCTACTATGGTGAGAGTTTCGCCCTACTTTGACCAGTGCATCGTGTAATGGTCATACTTCTTCAAATGATATTAATTAACTCTTTTAAATTAGGCTTTAGGCCTTCTAGAAATTCAAAACTTCACCGGCGTCTACTATGGTGAGAGTTTCGCCCTACTTTGACCAGTGCATCGTGTAACGGTCATACTTCTTCAAATGTGCGGCCTCTAATCTTGACACGCTCACCAAAAATTAGGATTTAGGCCTTCTAGAAATTCAAAACTTCACCAGCGTCTACTATGTTGAAAGTTTCGCCCTACTTTGACCAGTGCATTGTGTAACGGTCATACTTCTTCAAATGTGCGGCGTCTAGTCTTGACACGCTCAACAAAAATTAGGATTTAGGCCTTCTAGAAATTCAAAACTTCACCAGCGTCTACTATGTTGAGAGTTTCGCCCTACTTTGACCAGTGCATCGTGTAACGGTCATACTTCTTCAAATGTGCGGCCTCTAATCTTGACACGCTCACCAAAAATTAGGATTTAGGCCTTCTAGAAATTCAAAACTTCACCAGCATCTACTATGTTGAGAGTTTCGCCCTACTTTGACGAGTGCATCATGTAACGGTCATACTTCTTCAAATGTGCGGCCTCTAATCTTGACACGCTCACCAAAAATTAGGATTTAGGCCTTCTAGAAATTCAAAACTTCACCAGCGTCTACTATGTTGAAAGTTTCGCCCTACTTTGACCAGTGCATTGTGTAACGGTCATACTTCTTCAAATGTGCGGCGTCTAGTCTTGACACGCTCAACAAAAATTAGGATTTAGGCCTTCTAGAAATTCAAAACTTCACTAGCGTCTACTATGTTGAGAGTTTCGCCCTACTTTGACCAGTGCATCGTGTAACGGTCATACTTCTTCAAATGTGCGGCCTCTAATCTTGATACACTCACCAAAAATTAGGATTTAGGCCTTCTAGAAATTCAAAACTTCACCAGCGTCTACTATGTTGAAAGTTTCGCCCTACTTTGACCAGTGCATCGTGTAACGGTCATACTTCTTCAAATGTGCGGTCTCTAATCTTGACACGCTCAACAAAAATTAGGATTTAGGCCTTCTAGAAATTCAAAACTTCACCAGCGTCTACTATGTTGAGAGTTTCGCTCTACTTTGACCAGTGTATCGTGTAACGGTCATACTTCTTCAAATGTGCGGCCTCTAATCTTGACACGCTCACCAAAAACCTTATGGGGTACTTAATCTACATTCACATTTTTCATCTGGCTTTGTGGTTTTGTTGGACCTTAGGCAAGGTTTACCTTCGACATTCAAACATCACTTATGTTGAATCAAAACTTGTTTCACCATACACGCTACCTATGCGCATATGTTCAATTGCGTGCGACACAACAACGTTGCATCTCATCGTCATCTCGATTCCTCACAACACGTCCCATGCATCGTGATACAATCTCAAGTCTCGAGATATGTTAAGAATGAGATAGAAAATAGAATTGGGAAGATATGTATTATCATTGATATTGATATCCTTTAAATATGATACAGCGAGTACAAATGAGGAAAATATAAAATAATTAAATACTGAGAATAAAATAAAATATACTGTAAATCATATCATATATAAAGAATATTAAGATATAATATCTAAGATATATTCTATAAATAATATATACTCTAGATATTATATCTCAATACTCCCCCTCAAGTTGGAGAGTTTATGTCAATCACATCGAATTTGTCTTTCAAAAAATCTAATTGATGTCTTTCCAAAGCTTTAGTGAAAATATCTGTCAATTGCATTTTATTCGAAACATAACACGGTTTGATGATTCTAGCTTGTAATTTTTCTCGAACTATATGACAATCTATTTCAATATGTTTCGTACGTTCGTGAAAAACTTGATTGGCTGCTATGTGTAATGCTGCTTGATTATCATAGTACAATAATGCTGGTTCGGATAATGAAACTTTCACATCTTGGATAATGTATCTTAACCAAGTTAACTCTAAACAAGTATTTGCCATAGCTCGATACTCGGCTTCTGCTGATGATCTGGACACATTGGTTTGTTTTTTTGACTTCCAAGAAATAATTGAATTTCCAAGGAAAATGCAGAACCCAGAAATAGACCGTCTGGAAGTTCGACAACCACCCCAGTGTGAATCGCAATATGCTTGTAATCTCAAGTTATTTTCAGATGGTAGTAGAAGTCCTTGACCAGGAGTACCTTTGATGTATCTCAGAACTCGAAGAGCTGCCTTCCAATGTGGTGTTCTTGGTTCATGCATAAATTGACTAAGCATACGAACTGAATACACTATGTCAGGCCTAGTAACGGTTAAATATATTAATCTGCCAACCAACCGTCTGTATTTACTTGAATCATTCAACTTTTCTCCTTGTGTTGAAGAAAGTTTCAGATTTTGCTCCATAGGAAATTTTTCTGGACGTGCTCCTATAAGATCTGTGTCTTGAAGAATGTCTAGAGCATACTTCCTTTGAGACATAAAGATTCCTTTTCTAGACCTAGAAAATTCAATACCTAGGAAATATTTCAAATTTCCTAAATCTTTGATAAGAAATTTCTCGAGTAAACTAGTCTTGAGATGTTGAATTTCTTTTAGATCATTGCCTGTCAATAGAATATCATCAACATAGATAAGAGTTGCAGTGAAAAAAGTACCTTTATTCTTAGTAAATAAAGAGTAATTTGCTTTGGACTGAGTGTAGCCTGCATTTTGTATAGTGGTAGAGAATATGGAGAACCAATTGTGAGAAGCCTGTTTTAAACCATAAAGAGATTTATGGAGCCGACGTACTGTATTCTCCCCCTGTCGACGAATACTTGGTGGTAAAGACATATAGACTTCCTCGTCTAGATTACCATGGAGAAAGGCATTTTGAACATCCAACTGATGAGTGAACCATTTTCGAGCAGCGGCAATAGTGAGTAAGCAACGAAGTGTAGTAAGTTTCGCTGTAGGAGAAAATGTCTTTTTGTAATCAACACCTTCAACCTGAGTATATCCCTTTGCTACCATTCGAGCTTCATAACGTTCAACAGAACCATCAAAATTGTGTTTAATCTTGTACACCCAACGACAGCCAATAGGTTTATGGTCAGGTGGTAGAGGAACGAGAGACCAAGTATGATTACGTTCCAAAGCTGCAATTTCATCATTCATAGCCTGCTGCCATAATGGATTGCCAACTACCTCATCATATGTTTTAGGTTTTGTCTGGGCTATAATAAGAGCTAGAAAAGCACGTTGAGTACAAAAAAAAAAACGAGAGAATGAAAGGTAATGATGAAGGGGATACCTGGTGCCAATGTTGGGACTTGAGCTAGAGGTTAAATGATTGGCTCCAGAAGACATCTCATAATCATTATAATAAGCTGGAGGTTGTTTGGTACGAGTAGAATGTCGAAGTGGAACTGATGTATCAGGTGGGATAAGATTAGATTTAGTGGGTGAATCTGGTGAATCTGGAACTGATGAATTTGGAGAAGGAACAGGAGGCGGAGGAGGTGACGAAGGGACAGAAGGATCAGAATGGATGTTTGAGTAGGGTGGATCATGAAATGGTAAAATGGGAGTTGAAGGAGCTAATGTCAAAGTTTCTGAAGCTGATGAAAAAGAAAAATCATCTTCACAAAATTTAACATCACGACTAATAAAGAATTTTTTAGATTGCATGTCATACAACTTGTAACCTTTGTGACCACAAGGATATCCTATGAAAACACAAGGAATTGCCCAAGGTTCAAATTTTTGCTTAGGATGTACTACAGTTGCATAACACTTACAACCAAAAACTTTAAGATGGTGAAATGTAGGTGGTTGTTTGTAGAGAGCTTCCAAAGGTGTCTTGTTAGATAACAATGGTGATGGTGTTCTATTTATAAGATAAATAGCCTTAAAATGCATTCTCTCCAAAAATTAAGTGGAACTTATGACTGAAAAAGAAGAGACCTAGCTACATTTAGGATATGACGATGCTTACGTTCTACGACTCCATTTTGTTGTGGAGTATAGACACAAGTGCGCTGAAATTTAATGCCACAAGAAGTAAAAAAATGGTTGCAAAGCTAGGAACTCAGTCCCATTGTCTGATCTAACTATCTTGATAGTAGTATGAAATTGAGTTTGAACGAATTTAACAAAGTTTACTA